CAGTCTCTCTCTCTCTGGTGCGCGTGCCCCGAGACGAGCATGGGCACGTATAGGCCCATCATCATCTACTCGAGCGCACGACCCTCCTCTCCTTGTCAGGGGGGACTCTCCTGCGTAGCTCCCTCCTCCGGGAGAGGCGCCAGGGTGCACGACGAGGAGCAAGAAAGGCAGAGCGAAGGGACCGCTCCCTCCTCCGAATGACAAGGGCGCAAGCGAATCTGCCGGGGAGGGGGAGAGAGAGAGAGAGCCCGACAGGAAGCGCTCAGGCACGCGCATGAACCGAACGACCAGAAGGACGGGAGATAGGGCCGGACAGAAGGAGCCTCGCCGCACGGAGGCAAGAGGGAGAGGGGTGGAAGGGGACGGATTGTGTGCGTGTGCGTGTGCGTATGCATGCGGCACACGCCACACGGCACACACACACACACCAGATCGGAAGAGCACACGTCACGCGCATGAACCGAACGACCAGAAGGACGGGAGATAGGGCCGGACAGAAGGAGCCTCGCCGCACGGAGGCAAGAGGGAGAGGGGTGGAAGGGGACGGATTGTGTGCGTGTGCGTGTGCGTATGCATGCGGCACACGCCACACGGCACACACACACACACCCCAGAGGGAGGATTGAGGTAACAGAGAGGGGAGGGGAAGAGGGGAGACCAATACGTACGTTACCCATCTTGTATTACTCTTCGGGACCTAGAATTTGAAAAACAAAAGCAAATCGAAGAGATGGAGAGAGAGCGCCCATGCTGGGGGCAGGTACTATGCCTTCAGATCAAACACAGCCCCGGCCGTGTCCCACCCCCCTTCGGCGCCTGGCGGCGCTGCCCCCTCCCCGTCGCCAGGACGCTCGCCCCCACCTCTCCCCCACCCCCCTGTCCGTCGGGGGGTGGGGGGGGGAAACAAGCCACGGAGGGAAGCCCGCTGCGCGGCTGACCACCGCCACAGGCCTCCCCCCGCCTCCGCCCCTCTTCCCCCCCCTCCCCCCCCCCCGCTCCCACCCCCGGCGGACGGGGGAAGGGGTCCCACCAGGGGAGGGGGGGCTGCAGTGTTCCGTCCCACCGCCCCTGCAGGCCCCCATCATCCCCCATCCCCGCCACCCCCACCCCTTGCCGGAGGATGGGCTGGCACAGCCCCGCTCGCCCCCTGGAGAAACACCCTCCGTCGCACGGGCCCTCGCCCGCACCACGGACGGCACTCAGCCATCCGCTCCTGCAGGGCGAACTAGTTGCCTCACCACCACCACCACCACCACCCGTCCCCCCGTGAACACGCATGCACACTCCTCCTGGGGGCCATCCCTCTCTCTGTCTCTCTCTCTCTCTCCTGGCCTTGCTCACCCGACCGGGGACCGACTGGCCGAGAAGCAGGCAAAAGGGATGCCCCCCCCCCC